CCTAAAGTACGCCCTGAGCAATGGCAGGTGTAACCAAATCAATCACATCCCACCCCTGAAAAAAATATGTATATCTGGGCAGATAGTTCACAGGGCTAAGACACTCACCTTTTATGCAGCTCACCCTTGTTTATTCTGGGCACTGCATATGGTCCCCAGAGTACCACCAGGAGTGTAGGAGTGATTACCGAGCACAGAGCAGGAGCAGCCTGTGGGTACTGTCAGGTGTGGCCCAACATCCCCCACTCCTAAATTCTAACCTGACTCGGATGAAGATGAAATAGGATAAGGCCTGTAACACAGAGCCGGCCACCTGCCTTCCCTCCCTGCCCTTTGAAAGCTTTGCTATTTCTGTTCACTCCAGCCTGGAGTGAACAAGAACATGGTCTTGTACTATACAATTCGCACTAGTCTTAGTCTCCCGGAGGCTCAGAACACACGTGAACGCAGGCACGTTATGTCTGTTGGAATCCTCAACACATGTCCTATTTTCATAGCCTCAGGGTTGAATTAATTAAGGGCAGAAATTTTCAGACAGATAAATAATAAATGACCTAGTTATACTAGACATGTGTGATGTGCTCCTTATATAATGCCGAGCTCAAGACACGTGAAGTCGGGTTACAAAACGGTGTGCAAAACTAGGATGGCAACTTTTAGGAGAAGTAAAACTCACGCACAGAAACCAGGAAGCAAAGTGGTGGATGAGTTTTGTTGAAGAGTAAACTTATGGGTAATGCCTTGTCTAAGGTTTTTGTTGGTTTGGGCAGAGAGGGTATTATGGGGCAGAGAGGTATTATTGCCAATAATGGAAGTCCTGGTACCTCAATAACAATAGTAAAACTAATAGGATAAAAACTATAGCACAGGGGCCGGAGCAATGGCATAGCGGATAGGGCGTTTGCCTTGCACGCAGCCGACCTGGGTTCGATCCCCGGCATCCCATATGTTCCCCCAAGCACCGCCACTGAGTGTAGAGCCAGGAATAATCCCTGAGCATCACTGAGTGTGACCCAAAAAGAAAAAAAAAAACCAAAAAACTATAGCACAGCGGGTAGGGTGTTTGCCTTGCACGCGGTCAACCCAGGTTCGATTCCCAGCATCCCATATGGTCCCCTGAGCACCGCCAGGGCTAAATCCTGAGTGCAGAGCCAGGAGTAACCCCTGTGCATCGCCGGGTGTGACCCAAAAACCAAAAAAAAAAAAAAGAGAGAGGGTATTATTGGGCAGAGAAGGACAGAGAAGTATTATTGCCAATAATGGAAGTCCTGGTATCTCAATAACAATGGTAAAACAAATAGGATAAAAACTATAGCACAGCAGGTAGGGCATTTGACTTGAACGCAGCCAACATGGCCGACCCGAGTTCAATTCCTCCGCCCCTCTCAAAGAGCCCGGCAAGCTACCGAGAGTATCGCGCCCGCACGGCAAAGCCTGGCAAGCTCCCCGTGATGTATTCAATATGCCAAACACAGTAACAAGTCTCACAATGTTACTGGGCCCGCTCGAGCAAATCGATGAACAATGGGAGGACTGTGACCGTGACCGAATTTTGCATTTAACAAGATTGATATAAACCATGTTAGGGTGCTACCTAGAAAATTGTACAAGACTTAAGCAACCTCCATTAGTAGGGGCCAGAGAGATAGTATGGAGGTTAAAGTGCTTGCCTTGTATCTGACACCAGTTCAATCCCCAACACTGCATGTGGTCCCCTAAGCACCATCAGGACTAAGTCCCTAGCACTGCCAAGAACAAACAAAAAAGAAAACTGTTCAATAGATGAAATGTGTTTGGGGGCTTTTCGTTCCTTTTATTCATTTTTTTCCGTGAGGGTACAGGGAGGGGCACACCCAGTAGTACTCAGGGCTTATTCCTGGCACCATGCTCAGGGAATGCTAGAGGGGCTCAGAGGACCATATGGGATGCTGAGGACTAGACTCAGGTCAGCTGCCCACAAGGTCTAAATAGGACATCTAAACAGGAGTCACTGTCCAAGGAATAGAGAATATTTTTGGAAAGGCAGACATCAGAAGTGGAGTCGAGTAGAAGATTCCACCCTCTCCATTCTGTCTACTGAGAGCAGACCTTGCTCTGCACAAAATCTGTGCAGCTCTAAGGCACCCCTTTGTGCGATGCTGTCAGGAACCCCCACATCTTCCCTGGCATCAACGAGTCAGACTTGGGAACAGACAGCCTCTAAGACACTTCTCCATCTAAAATAGTCGACAATCTATAAAAGCACCTATTTATAGTCTAGAAACGTGCTGTCTAATAAGGAAGCTGCTATCTTCTGTGGCTATTTACATTTAAATTAATTAAAATACAAAATTCAGTTCCCTAGTCACACTGCTACATTCCAAACGCTCAGAAGACTCAAGAGCAGGGTTGGGGTTCAGCTGTAGAGTGTTAGCCTTGTGCATGTGAGGTTCTGGGTTTGATCCCCAGCACAGCAAGAGGAAAGAGGTAGTGGTGGTGGCGGGGGGCGGCGGAGAAACATGAAACTTTGGTTGCAGTTTTGGATAGTGCCGATATAGACCATTTCCCATCTGGAAAAGAATACCTTTAAGTGTGTTTTGTTTTGTTTTGTTTTGGGGCTGCACCTGGTGATGCTCAGTGGCTAGGTATTCCATTCAGGGTTGCTCCAGGGGTGCTTGGTGGACCATGTGATACACCCCAGCGAAGCACAGGAGTTACTCCTGGTTCATGCACTCAGGAATTACTACTGGCAGTGCTCAGGGGACCATATGGGATGCTGGGAATCAAACCTGGGTCGGCTGTGTGCAAGGCAAATGCCCTACCCGCTATGCTATTGCTCCAGCCCCCACCCCAGTCTTTTGAGGCATCTCTCTGCACCCCCTGACCCCACCCCCATTTTTCAACAGAGGTGTTTCCAAGCCTACATTTTTAAGTTCTATTAGTGTATAAAAACTTCCCTACCCACAGTCAGATATGTGTGAGTCACTGAGTGGTCTTATTGACTTAAGCTCTTCCCTCTACTCCCCTTAATCTGTTGTTTGTGTGTGTGTGTGGGGGGGGGGGGGGGGAATTTGGGGCTTGGGTACACCTGGAAATGCTCAGGGGTTATTCCTGGCTCTGAACTCAGGGGTCGTTTGTGATTCTGTGCTCAGAAATTACTCCTGGCATGCTCCGGGGACCATAGGTGTACGCGTGCAAGAAGGTAAGCACCATCCGCTGTACTATTTCTCTAGCCCCTCCCCTTGTTCTCTGGGTCTTTCCCCTCTGCAGATTCTATTTTCGCCCTCCTCTCTCCTGTTCACCAGGATGTGTTTCTGCGATTCTTCGTGGATGCCGAGTGCCCATCAGCCATGAAAAAAAACCCTGCTCCTTGCTTATTCCTGGGTCACTCCCTCAAGCTGCTTCTGCAAACCTCTCTGTACATAACTAACAAGCTGGAATCTAAGGAGGAATGCATCTATTTGTGCTGCTGAGTCACTGAATCGACTGAAGGAAGCCGTGTGGGGGAGAAACAAGTGAGCGGCAATCTTTTCTCCTGCAGATTTTGCTATTTTGGTATTGGCATGTCAAAAATAAGTCACTAGCTGAATCAATGGCGGAGCGATTCGTGCTGTGATATCTTTACCAAACAAGCGTTTTTATTGTCTCATCCTGCCCAGTTCTCTTTCCCAGGAAGGTTAATTTCCCCATAATTTCGTAGTTGAATCCCTGTTACCGAAGGTCAGAAATAAACAAAGATCTCCATTCCTCTTTCAGCCCTCTTTCAGCTCTCCTAAGATTATCTCCAAAAAGCCTTTGATGTTTTATTTATGTCTGGGAAGCAAACGGAACTTTTAGATATCCCGGACCCACAGAATGACTTTGATTTGGTCAGAAATTAGGAAGAGCACAAAAAAGTCTCAAAGTTTTCGAAGGAAAATGCCAGCGATATAAGTTCAAAGCTTTTAAATTATTTTTAGAACTTCCTTGACCTATCCCTCTCCCCCAAACCTATGATTCCTGTTTGACTATCAGCTTTTTTCCCCAGTGCTACCAACTGAGAGGGGTGAGAGCCAGGGCTGGTGAATAAGGGGCGGGATGTGCAGTCGGACTCCCGGGCTGATGACTGGAACTTGTGCAAGTTGGTTATAGTGAACCCCCGCTCCTCTGCCGGGGCGGGTTTTGCAGGAAGAAGCCCGTTTTGCAATCTTTTTGGTACCGAGGGGCAGCTCTACAGATAACAAGGCGTTTTTTGAGTGGCAGCAAACAAGCCCCCAGGAACCTTGTGATTTCCGATTCCTGCAGCCCGACCTGGGCTGGGCGGGGGACACCGAAACACCGGCTGTGGGGCTGGATCCTGGAGAAGCCGATGGCACCTGTGGATTGTGGTGGGGGGCGGGGAGAGAGGACCGTCTGTGCTGCCACTTCTGAGACTCCAATAGGACATGCCGCGGTTACTGGAGCCCGCGGGTTCCGGTGCCCGCACCTGGGGCTGAAGCCATACATAGTAAAAGAGGGTGGGGCTCTTGTCGACCCGGGTTCAATTCCCGACACTCCAAGTGGTTCCCCCGAACACCACCGGGAGGGATGCCCGAGTGCAGATGAGCAACGCTGGGTGCGACCACACACGCACACGCACACACGCACCCAGAGTGGCGTGGACTCTCTTTTCCTTCGGCACACTTTTTAATGCGCGTTCGCTTTTGACACTTGCACAAAGTGCACGACCTGGGGCGGCTCGGGGAGACACTGACAAGCCGGGGGGAGAGGGGGAGTGCGGGTGCCTGGGCCCAGACTAGAGGAGACCCCGGGAGTCCCCACACGCTCCCTTCCACCCGCAGCCCCCCCCACCAACCCCCGGGACACGGGACGCCCCGCAGAGCCGATGCCGGGGCCGGGAAGCCGGGACGCCCCTGGGGCGGCGGCGGTGGGGTGGCGGGGGGCGGGGGGCGGGGAGCGGCGCGGGCCCCGCGCGCACGCGCGTCCCCCCGCGGCCGGCCCCGCCCCCGCCGCGGGCGCCCCCCCGCGGGCAGGACGCGGGGCGCAGGGAGCGTGCGCACGGCCCGCCCCGGGCGCGGGCGGAGAGAAGAGGGAGGGAGCGCGGCGCGCAGCCCGCAGAAGCCGCGAGCCTCGCAGGACGACGGACCCCGCAGCGGCGCGCCGGACCGGGCGGTAAGGGGCTCCGCGGGGACTCGGGGGGTGGGGGGCGGGCAGCTCCCGGCCCACCCGCATCTCCGGAAACTTTGTGCCCGCGCCCCGCAGCGGGGCAGCGGCGGGACGCTGAGAGCACCCCTCTCCGCGCCACCCCATTTCCCCCCACCCCCCACCGCTGCTCCCCGGGGGGTGAGCCACGGGCCGCGGACGTTCGCTCTTCTGGCTGCTCCGCGCGAGCTCAGCATCCCCGGGGTGGGCTCCTGTCCGCTTCCCGCTGTCCCCCGCGCGTCCCCAGCTCGCCGGTCGCGTCCCCGCCCCCTCTCCCGGCTGCAGCCCGGGCCGTGCTAGCAGCCCGCCGCTTTTTTTTTTCCTCCCTTGCATCTTGCGAAGGTGCCTGGTGCAGTGGTGGACGCAGCAACTTGACTTTCAGTCGTGCCAAGTGCTCAACTTGAGTATTCTCGCTGCTGCGGCGGCAGATTGGGGTGCGCGGCGCGAACCTTCCAAGTGCTGCGCTCGCTCGGAAGCGAAGTTGAGTTGCGGTCTGCGTGTCCCGGGGGAGAGAGGCGTGCGGCAGCGGCCTTAAGTGGGTTGTGTAACTATATTTTATTTAGGTGGATGTTGCCTATGATATCAGCCAGTGTTATGGTTACTGCTTCGCCGCGGCAAGGGAAGGACGGACTTCCAAAGGTTCTACTGTGCAGGGAGTTGTTTAAAAAAATTTTTTTTTTCATCTTTATAACTACCTTGGTACTTTTCATCCAGCAGGACCTCCAAGCTATTAGCATATATTAACTAGCTAGTTGTTCTCGGGATCGTTTTATAAAAGACGGTGGCTGAGGACCGTACCGTTCCCCTTTTTTCAGATGTTAAAAATAATAATAAGTCAAACCCCCAAACGGAGCAGAGAGCCAAGTCCCGATTCTGTCCTAATCTTAAATTTAGCACTTCCATATTTAAGGTTAAGGACCAAGATGTTGAACCGGGAGCAGCCTGTCATTCCCAGCCCATCGGAGTTTATTTAAATAATGCGATGTGGGAACATCCGCCCGAGCACAGTCAAGAAAAGTCAAAGGCGGGGACCGCTCCAGGCAGCAGCCCCAGGCTGGGGACTCCACTCTGTCACCAAGTAAAGCGATACTGGGCAAGTCACAGCTTCTCTCTCCAGAGTCCCCGGTCTTTCTAGTGAGGGAACAAAGGTGCTATATTCTTGACAAAGTTGTGTGTCTGGGAGTTCCCTGAAGCTGCAGCATTTGGTGATTGTCTCTTGTTCTGGGCTCATAAAGGCCCCCATTCTTGGACTCCCCTTAGGAATGCTGGTAGTGATGCACTCTTCGCCCCACCCTCCCCTCCCCCAAGAATAACTGCCTTTGCTAGAGACACCTGAGAATTCACAGCAGGGACCCTGGACGGGAGGAGGGTTGCTGGGCGTAGGTAGGCTGGCTCCACGCACAGGCAGCTTTGACACTTGGGCCCCGGTACTGCCTCCAGCTCTGACTCATCCTCTGACGCTTGGGGGAGGAGAGGTTGTTGCTTGATATTTTTGGCTTCCCCCTACAAAACAGGAGCCGGTTTCCTTCATTCCAAGTCTTTTTAAAACATCAGTATTGAACGTGTCTCATCTGAAGTCATTCATGTGGGTTGATTTTGCAGGTATGATTTCTGGAATATTCTTTTGCGAAATGGCATAAATATATATTCATGTCCGAAAATGCCGGCCAGTTGCATAAGGCCAGGAAGTCCTTGATAATGTATTTTTAAAAGGTGACCTTTAGGGAGGGGGTTTGTGTGGGGTGGGTGCCTTGGCAATTGGAATTTTATTTGGAGGCAAGGAGGATGAAACACGTTATCAAAAGAAATTATCACAAGAAATATTTTAATCATTTCCTTTTTTTAAAAAAATGAAAACTACAGATGAAGTTTGAAGATCTTTCCTTGGGGGGAGGACCTACCTGGCGGTGCTCAGGGGCTAGATGTATAAGGGTTGCTTGTGGAGGGAGGAAAGTGTCTGATGCTGTGTGATGCTGTGTGATGTTGTTTGATGCTGGGTAATGCTAGGTGATTGACCCCGGCATCCTGAATGCTAAGCATGCACTCCAGCCCTTTAAATTACCCACTCTCATCATCACTCACACAATTTTGTGTGTATCTCTTAGAATTTTGTAAGCATTTTCATAAGTGTTTCATTGCACAGCGTGATGTTTTAAAGTTTATTGTGAAATTATAAAAACTGGTTCTGTTCATAGAGATTGGGCTTGTGTATAGAACAAGTACTGTGCCTTTTAAGTACAAGCTGATTGTAAAGCTTTATGAACCTTGATAGTATTTCTCAGCATAAAGAACAAAAGAGAAATTTCTTAAACAACTTGACTTCAAACCAGTTAAGTCATTAAGAGCCTAGGCCTTATTTTTAATTACAAATAAAAACTTTTCCGTTTAAAAAAAAAAGGTGGACTACTACTAATATGTTCACCTTTTCATTGCCTCTAAGGAAGCACAAAAGGAAGTGGAAGCTGGGAGAGTTGCTAAAGCAACCGTCTGAGTATAAACTTACAGAGAGAACATTTAAGGTGGTAGCTTTAGTTATTTATGAGCAAGAGCTTTGCTGGGGTGACGACAAAAGGAAGTGTTAGTGTGGGAAGAGCTCAGTAATTTCAGGAAAAGGGCGAATTAAAACAAAATTCATTTCAGAAGTTTATGAGTTTTTTTGGGGGGAAGCATTTTGCCATGCTACAGGAATTGTGTTGAATACAGGGGGTGAAAGGCAAATGAAGCCCTAAACCTGACCTCCTAAATAGAGCCCACGCTGAGACACTCCAAGAGGAAGTGCTTCCCCCCCCCCCCCCAGAACTGTTAATGGTTCTGAAAATCCAACTTGTATAGATTTGACTTTTTTTTTGGTTTTATTGTGAATAATGACTTATGAAATGTGAGAGGGGGTGGAGCAGTAGTACTGAAGATAAGGTTTGCCTTGTATGAGGCTGACCTGGGCTTGATCCCAGCGCCCCATGTGGATCCCAGCACCCCATTCAGTTCCCTGAGCCCTGTCAGGGGTCATACCCTGGCACAGAGGTAGGAATAAGCCCCGAGAATCACAGGGTGTGGCTCAAAACCAAACAAACCAAAAAAATAAAAAAACCCCAAACCAAAAACTCCATACATGAAACATTCCATAGGGGCATAAACCACTATTGTGTGGTTCTAGGGATTGAATCTGGGTTGGATATGTGCAAGGCAAGAGCCTTATTTGCTATTGTCTCTTTGGCCATTTCCTTTTTCTGTCTGTCTTTGAGTGTGTATGTATATATATATACATATATATACATATACATATATATACATATACATATATATATAGCTAGTGTATATATAGCTAGTGGGAGCTGGGGCTACACCTGTTTTTACACCTGCTTGAGGCAGACTCTCTCTTGGCTCTGCGCTTGGGGGATAGTTTGTGGTACCTGGGATCAAACTGGGAATGGCCACAAGCAGAGCAAGTGCCTTAACTTTTGTACTATCTCTCTCTCCTCCTCTCTAATTTTTTTTTATGTAATCCCAGGGATTACTCCTGGCACTGCCTGCACTTGTGCATTCCCGGCAGTGCTCAGGGGACCATGTGGGATGCCCAGGATCCAACTCAGGTCAGGCACATGCAAGGCAAGCGCCCTACCTGGTGTATTATTGGTCAAGTTCCCCTCCTTGTTATTTTTTATTCCCTGTTTAGCAATCTAAGCATGACTTTGTTTTGCCTATTTTTAGCATTATGTGGATATACCCAATATTTTTCTTTAAGTTCTTGTAGTGTGTGTGTGTGTGTGTGTGTGTGTGTGTGTGTGTATAGCCACACCAAGGGTATCAGTGCTCAGTAGCTACTTCCTATTTTGCTTTGAAGATTGGTCCTACTGGTCTTTGTGGGACCATGTGGAGACAGGGCTTTCAAATTCTGCCTGGTGTCAGCATTATTATTGTTATTACTGAAGCAAGATTTATTTTTCTTTTTAGGTCTCACTCAGCAAGCTCAGGGGTTACTCCTGGCTCTGCACTCAGGGGTTACTCCTGGCTCTGCACTCAAGTCCTGGCAGTGCTTGGGGTCTATATGGGATGCTGGGGATTGAACCTGGGTTGGCCGCGTGCAAGGCAAACGCCTTACTCACTGTACTATCGCTCTGGCCCCAATATTTTTTATTTAAGTTTTTTTGGAGGGGCACACCTGGCTATATTCCGGGATTACTCCTGGCTCTGTGCTCAGGAATCACATAGAAGGGACCATACAGGGTGCCGGGGAATGAACCTAGGTTGACTTTGTGCAAGGCGCACACCCTACCAGGCTAAAGATTGTTTTTATTGAACGAAACTTACTTAGAAAGATGTGAGGGGAGAAGAAGAGAGGAAATAAATGTTTAAGAGAGAACACAGGTTTCTTGAGAGTGGAAAAAATGTCACAAACAAAAAGACACAGAGTCAAGCAAGCGAGAGATGTCTTCAAGGAAGAACATGGGCTTGAACAGTGAGCCAGCATCATATTTTTGAAGTTGTGCATGCTGTTGCCTGTGACTGTAGTTGGTGCATTTTTATTTATTTTTAAATTTTTAATTAGTGAAACACCATGAGGTATAGTTGTAGACTTATAAATTTTTGTGCTTGGGTTTCAGTTATACAATGATCGAGTACCCATCCCTCCACCAGTGCCCATTCTCCACCACCACTGACCCCAGTATCCCTCCCACACCCCATTCCCCCAGTTGGTGCATTTTTAAATGAACCATTTTTAAACGGCTCATTTCTCTATTGTCCGCTGAGGGTGGGCAGTTAGGAGTGGCATTGTACTAGCCCGCACTGATTTACTCCTCATTCCTGCATGGAAATTCACTGTGTTTGCTCTTATCCACAGTGTTTTCTTGTGTGTGAGTGTGTGTGTGTGTGTGTGTGTGTGTGTGTGTGTGTGTGCATGTGTGTGTGTGTGCGTGTGCACAGTGCGCGCATTTGTCTGCACTGAATTTTGGAGCCATACCCAGTGGTGC